AGCTTCTTCATGGTCGTCGGCGCGTTCTGCGGCAGCGCACCGAGTGCCATGGCCTGCGGCCACACATGCAAATACGGCGCGAGGAGCTGGAGGCGGATCTGGACGCCGCGCTTGAGGCGGTCCGTCGGCACAAACTCGCCGTCGACAGGCTCGGCGGCCAGCGCGTCCTGCACCTGGCGCTGCCAGTCGTCCATGAAAAACTCAACGAGCTCGATGGGCCCGCGCGGGAACATGCCATGCGCGATGGACGGGAAGCCCGCGTCCTGCGCGCCCTGGCCCAGCGCCTCGATGGTCCAGCTACAGCACGCATGCGTCAGCATCATCCTCGGCATGTGGCATCATGCATACCCCGAGGCTTGGACGTGGCGCAGCGCGTTCGTGAGGATCGTCTGGCTGGGGTCGGCGGCGACGGGCGCGGCTGGCGCCGCATGGGCGCAGAACGAGCGCGGGAGCGAGCGGAGGCCGAGGCGGCAGCGCGACAGCGTCGAGGTCAGCATGGTCCTGCGGTCAATTTCGGATGGATCAAGAAGCTGCTGGAAACCCAGCATATGTATCAAGTCCCAGAGGTCAGCGACCGTCTATTTGCACGCCACCCAGGGCAGCATAATATCCGTATACCAGACCATATTTCCGGATGGTGCTTCTAAACCGACGATTGTGCAGCCAGAAAGGAGCGCGCGCTGCGACAGCAAGCCACGAAGAACCCATACATGCCTCCTTGGGTACACATATATGCATCGACACCTCTCAAATACATGCTGCACTGCCCGCGATTTGCCGTCTTCACTGCCGGCAGATCCGACTAGAAGCACGCAACTTCAACGTGGCTACGCGAAGTACAACGAAGATTTTATGATGGCATGAGCTGGCTCGTCGCTTGCAGCGCGCGCATGCGATCTTGCAGCGCCTTTCGCTCGAGGAAGACGCGGCGGCGTTCTTGGGCCAGCAAATCTTCGTAGACACCATGTCTACGGCGTTCTCAGCATGAGCAAAAGCACCAAGTTGTCCAAGGATTTGTACGCGCTGTCTCGGGGCGCGGCCGCCGGCTCGGGCGACGTTTCACTAGACGCCATCAGCAAACGAAGAACCGGAGTCCATCGTACGTACGAGACGTCATCGAAGACGACTGCTGGGCCTTTTTGAAGCTCGTCCATGCGCTCCTTGTAGGCGCGCGCCGCGCGCTACACGATCCTCCAATGGACAATAACGTCCATAATGGTACAGACCTGATTTTCGTGAAACTGTCGACGAGCCGCGTCGTCAAGGGTGTCGGGCAGCGCACGTCGCTTGGGCGAAGTCGCGCGTTTCTCACAAAGTATGGGCATGCCGTCAAGGACCGCGGCCAAGCTTGTTGGCCGGCGGGGCGGAGGGTCTGCCTGTAGCTTTGGCAGCGCATCCCACGTCGCTGCACTCACAAGGTGCATGATGTGGCGTTGGATGAAGGGCCGGGCGAGAATATCGGTGGCACTTGGGCGCTCCTAGCACCGACCTTGGATAGCTGGTCGCCTTACGAAGCACGCATACGTGTGGCGTCTTGGAGAGAAGTTGGGAGGCGAGTGCAATGATGTCGGGCGAGTAGTAGTGTCCATCGATCGACGGACTCGGCATCGCCGTCACGATTTTTTGGACAATGACTGGCCAGCTGCGTCCTTGGAACGGAGGCGCGAACGTGAGGAGCTCGTGCAGAACACACCCGAGGCCCCACAGGTCGCTCGTCGTGTTGTACTCGTTGCCGTCACAAATCTCGGGGCATCTAATACCAAAGGCATGCACTCGGTGCAGGCAGATGTTGGACAAACTACAGATAAAGGGGCGTGCCCACTTGGGTCGCTGCCAAGTCGAGCGTGTGCGAGAGTGCTTTTGCAACGCCAAAGTCGCCGAGCTTGACGACGCCACTGGCCGTCAAGAAGATATTCTAACGACACGTTGTGCATCGTTGAGGACATGTGTGTGTAGTACGTGGGGCTTGATATCCCTACGCGCATAATCAATAGTGTGAGGACATACACCGTCGACGATGCGAAGGGACCGGTGCACGATGTTGCGTTCGTGCAGGTACTGCAGCGCCAGAGAGAGCTGAATGAGAATGCGCACGATGTGGGCTTCTGGAAGCCGCGCCGCCCTACGCAGCAAATGATCGATTTACAGACCGGTCATGCAGGATAGAGTGTACGTAGCGCTGTGCTGCAAAAGGAACGTGTGGAGGTCGCCGCCGTCCGCGTACTCGAGAAATAGGACGGGGTCGCCGGTGTCACTTGTCGTCGTCGATTCGATCAAACTGACAATGTTGGGGTGCTGGAGCCGGCGCATGACGTCGACCTCGGCATGGCACGCTGCGAGTGGCGCGTGGATCGTCTTGGCGACGACGAGTGCGCCCGAGACGCGGTGACGCACCAAGACCGCGTCACCGTGGCTGCCCCGCCCGAGCGTTCGTACCGTCTCGAACCGAGGATCCATCCATTCTATACTGGTCGTTACAATAGCCACTCGCCACCACTTCGATCCCTGCACAGCGACGATATAGTGTACACCACTGCATAGGATAATCATCGTCGATGAAAGAT